TGATTTCCATACTGCCAGTTAAAAAGGATGAAGTAGCAGATGAATTAAAAAAAAAACCTTATTCCACTTGAAATCTTGGAGAAGTTTGCTAGTAACAATAGGCAACACTGGGATTCGTGGAGAAATACTCTTGTCCTAGTGTAAGTTTCACTGATGGGTTTCCTATGCTTCTAAAGAAAAACTTACTGTTATTCCTGTTAGGGATAGGAATTTGGGGGCCTGGTGGGTAGGTTTGTAATTTTAAGACTATGTTATAAGTGCTCTCACAAAATGACTGCCAAGGTGAATGTGGCCAGACACAAACCATGCATTTACCCAAAGGCAAACTAATGAGATAGCTTTCCGCCTAGAGCTTCCATGTCTGGGCTGCAGAAATACTGATAACCAGCAGATGGCAGGAAATAGTTACCATTTTTCAGTATGTCTCTGTTGCCATCTAGTGGCTTTTTCAGAATTTTGCAGCCTGGATCTGGTTGCATCTCAGCCATTAAGATTTATCTAGGGCTACCACATGGGTTGCACATTCTGGATAATCACAAAAAAGGAGCAGAAAATTTATTATAGCTCTTTGCTACAATGTAATGGTTGTCCAGATGTTTGCAGCCCAAGTCTAGTAGCCCAACTCTAATCCTCTAGAGAACTGTCTATGATCCAAATTTAGGTTTGTCTTTTTTATTGGATAGGCTGACAAAGTGACACCATTGCTATCCAATATTTATTTGACAAGGTAGCCTTTGGGACCCAGAAACAGTCTGGAAAATAAAGAAAATGTTGGAGGCTCGTAGTCTGCTTGGAGCATGTCAGCTTCTCACTCAATTTTATTTAATTATGTGAAAGCAGAAAGGACAGGGCATCTGGCGAGCAGCAGTGGAAGAAGCCTCTGTAGGTACATAGCTGTGAACATGGCACTTGCTGACAACCACTCCTAGCATTCCTTCAAACGGAACATAATTTACTACGGGTTAGTCCCCCAACATTTCTTTAGAGCATTCATTGTTCAGTATCATACTACATCCCCTCAGTACTATGTACTTGTTAAGACAAGTAGTTGTGCTAAGAACGCAAATAGGCACCACTCCTAGCATTCCTTCAAACGGAACATAATTTACTACGGGTTAGTCCCCCAACATTTCTTTAGAGCATTCATTGTTCAGTATCATACTACATCCCCTCAGTACTATGTACTTGTTAAGACAAGTAGTTGTGCTAAGAATGCAAATAGGCCATTGTCTCTGTCCATAACTGATTTTTGTGTTCTATAAGAGCCTTATAGCCGGGAATATGACTCTCCAGTCATCCCAGCAATGTTGAGACCTTTTTACTCTCTCTCAGCTTTAATTATGGAGTCACAAGGCACACCTCTTCCATGCCAGAGAGGAAATGACATGCTTGGTGACTCCTACTCAGAGCAGCCAAAAATAAGATACACATAGCTGTTGCAATTGCTAATGACATTCTCAAGGTCCCTTCCGAATTAAGTAAGCATTGGAGCAATTGGCGAGCAGGAATACAGAGTCACCAAGGACACCTGAACCATGAGGGTTGTTTTTCTTTCTTTTTAAAGGAAATGGGGGGGAAAAGCAACAAATACCCTTTATTCCTCCATTGTCATCACAATGAAAAGCAGGATGTTCTAAAAAGAGGGTCATAAAGGAGTGTTTTCTCTGGAGCCAGCATGTTCTGCAATTAAGTGTAGATGTCGGTATTGGGACAGTATTGTGTTGCAATTTATTGGAAGAATTAATGGAAGTTCCTTAGTTTAATGGTGGAAGAGAGAAATTGTTAGTCAACAATTTCAGGCTTAGCTCCTGGCATCTCTAGGTAATGGGCTTGGAATCTCTAGGATTTCTATTAAAAGGGATTCAGAAGGATCAGCAGATAAATTTGCCCAAACACTCTTAACTGGGATATGGAATCAACCAAATTCCTTAGTTTACTCAATATGCTAATCATAAAGTAACCAAACAGATTTACAGTAGTTTGAACAACTCGTTAAGCCACATGTGTACAAAACCCCCCCCAACAATCAAGGTTAAAACTAACCAAAGTTATCATATTGTGTAAATGTAGCTGATAGGGCTATAACTGATTTGATTAAGTAGGCTATATGAACTGATCCATCGGGTCAGTCAGAGCATCTAATACTGGGCAACACAACATAACTATATGGACTAAGACCAACTTAGCATAAAGCAACTTTATTTACTAGGGTCTCCTGAACCAACAAAGTTCTTCTGAGTTAGGCATGGAAACAAACATTAGATTCCCCCTCCCCCCTCCCCACAAAGCCTACTACAACTGCAGGTGAGGTTTTGAAACCCCTACATTTTTCAATTCAGAATAAAACCTAATCCATTCAAGGGGGGGGGGGAAACAGCTGCTTTCAGTGGTCCCAAAAATATGCCTTTCTCCTTTCATGCAAGGTGTACTGAAGTAGGTGCTGGCAGGACTAGGGTTAGCAATTGCCATGGACCCTGGGGGAATTAATTGCCTGTGGGTCATTCCTGAACCCCTCTAGGAATGAACACAACTGACACTTTTTAATCTTAGCTGTGAAAATGCATTGCTGGCTATCGCTAAAAATTTGGCATTCACATTTAAGCCCGGATTGAAGGACACAGCCAAGGGAGTATAATCCTGTTTTTTGATTAACCAGAATTAAGTTTCAATATGTTTTAAAATAATATTTTTTAGAAAAATTTGCTATCCTGTTGGGTCATTTTATAAGGCTACAGTCCTAGAGTGCCTTTCTCCTACTTATGTGGGAGTAAAGCTATAATAAGCTGTTTATTTTCAGTTCTTGCCTGTTTTGCATATGTTTATTTCTCTGTTCATTCTGTCCTGCTTATGCAGAAATCTGTTTATTCCAGAAAAAAAAATCTACAGGAAGGTTCTTTGATGTTTATACGCCTTTTACTGTAATGTACACATTTTAGCATGTTAGTATAAAATATGCATTCCTATAAATATTTTGCTTTGTTTTGCAAGTAAAGAACAATTATTATAATACTAGGGACAGTACAGAATTCAGGACACGAAATACCTTTTGATGCATACATTACTTTAGGAAGCAGAAATCAGTTTCAAAATAGGCAGAACAGAATTCTTAAAATCCTTTTTAGTAATAAGCCCATCAGAAAGCCTTGGGATTTGCGGTGTTTTGGAGGAGACACATAAATCATTGCACTGTTAGGCTTTAGTTTTGGGGAAAATATTTCACTAACATTTGTTGGGATTATAGTTCCCCAAATACTCAGCTATTGCCTCGGCCATGTTGGGTAGGAATTCTAGGAGTTGAGATTATTTCTGGAGGGCAGCATATTGTGGAAAGTGACTGTGCACTTTCACATGGGAGAAAATCATATAGCACCGAGTTGATTTTAAGTAGGTATATATAAGATTAAACTGTTTATCTATTAACGTTAAAACAAATCCTATAGCCAAGAGAATTGGTTGGCCAGAATTGGACCACAAAAATGTGGACAATCCCTTGACGACAGAGATGTAGAAAACTCTTTGGTGCCATCCAGACTAGTGGTGGTCTGGAGTTTGCATCCCAGTCCTGTCTACAAAAGGAAAGTACTGTAGGCTTTCACTGTTCCTGTCTAAAGAATAAATTCAAAGATGCCTCTGATTTTTTTTTTTTCTGGGGACTAGAACAAGAGAATGTTCTGTGTGCCTTTTAAAAAGAATTTAAGCAGGGGTACAATTTACAACACCTTAAAGAACTTGGCAGCTGCATTAGCAAAGCGGAATGTACTTGTGTGGGAGAGAGGAAAGGAGTGGGAGAGGGAAGATTGAAAGGACCAGGAGAAAGAGAAGGATAAAGGAGCAGCTCTACCCATTTTTGGCTTTTGCCCTACTCACTTTGGGCCTCAGTTGTCCCCACTGCTAATATATGTCCCTGAGATTAGGGGTGGGGAACTTGTGACCCTCCTGGCATTGTGGAATAGTAACTTTCAGCATTCCTCATGGAGGCCGGGTTCCGTGCAGCATCTAGGGAGCCGTAAGCACTTTTGCCTAAGAAATCTTCCCTCCCCAACAAAGCAGGAAACATGGCATTAAAACATCCCCTATTCCTGCTATGTAACTTACTTGGGGTAAATTCTGGCTGAATTCAGTGGGGCTTATATTTTACTATACATGCATAAGAGTGCATTATACACTTACAAAGTAATTCGCTAAGCGCTCAAAACAAGATCCTGTTGTTCTGTACGGTGACATGCCCTCAATCTCTGTGTGTTAACTGTATTTATTACCATCACATCAGTCCTGTGCATGCTTTTGCAGAAGATGCAGGCAGGTCCTCTTAAAACACATGGCTAACTGAATAGTGAAAATGAGCTGGAGGGGAATTTGTTCTACTTCACTTGGAAACAAGAAATCCAGAACTTTTATGAATAGGCCCATTAATGTGAAAAACATTGCAGGCAACTGATACCAGTCATTCCAACCTCGTTCGTAGGAAGAGAGGAGATGTTCTCCCCCTCCCTCTGCCTTAACTATACAAGCTTCCTCAACAGAGGAATTCAGAACTGTCAAGATTTACGATGCAAGCGCTTGAAAATCTTTTAAGCTTTGATGTGGAGAGTTTGGGGACGACAAAAAGCTGTCTTGTGGCTCTTTTGCAAAAGTGCCTTGTCTGTTTAGCATTGCAATATGGTGTGTGCAAACTGCCATTTGTGTTTGGACGTTTGGTTATAACTGAACAGGAGAAAAGCAGTGTGTGAAACATGGTTATTACCTTTTAGAATAGACAGAGTGAGGCCAACCTGAAATGCTTGCACTCTTTAGAGCAGTGTTTCTCAGCCTTGGCAACTTGAAGATGCATGGACTTCAACTCCCAGAATTCCACACATTTTCAAGTTGCCAAGGCTGAGAAACATGGCTTTAGAGTCTATAGCGGTGTTCACACAACATGTTCAACCTTGTCACTCAGTTACCCATTTTAATAATTTAAGTATTAATTCACTGTGTATAGCCGCCTCCTTGGCATGCAACTCAGCAGAGGATGCACAATTAAAAACAACAAATAACCCACAAAGAATGAAATATAACTAGAGACTGTGAGTTCTAGGCCTCCCTTAGGCCTGAAAGCCAGCTGTGTGACTTTGGGCCAGTCGCTCTTTTAGCCCAACTCACCTCACAGGGTGGTTGTGGTGAGGAACATAGGACACGGGCATATTCGGTATGTTTACCTCCTTGAGTTATATATAAAAAAGGCAGGATAAAAACCTAATAATAGTAATAATAATAATATAGGGTGCTAGAGAGTTTCTGGGTTTGCACATTATATTGGGCAGTACATTGAACTATTGAATTACAAACTAACCCAAAGGGCTTATAGTAATTTGCCCTGTATGCTAAGCTAGCCCTCGAAATAAACAAATTTAACCAAGCGTTGTACAACTTGGATAAGCCTGTTGTGTTAGTTCAGCCCCGCCTTCTGCTTGGTGCAGGGTTTGTGGTACAGAAGTTAGTTATGATACTTCTGATGGACAGCTGTCCAGTCTCTTCCAGAATCGCCCAGCAAAAGAGAACAAGGGAAAAGTGACTATTCACTAATGTTCCAAATGGTATATTTATAAGACATGGATAAATAATGCAAATCCCATGGGATTAATTTGCATATTTTCTTTTTATATTTGCTAGCTGTGATCATCTTATGATTGAAAAAAAAAACTTGCTGAATAATTATTGTCCCTCTCCGATTACACTGACAGGTTTTTTTTAATATCATTAAGAGAAAATAAAGGCTGTCTTCACAGGACACATTTAGTGGGTTAAGAAGAGGGTTTGCATGTCTTATGAACACCGTGTTTCAATACTTTGGTGAGAGAGGCTAGATTGTTTAATCCAGGGCAGTGTTTTGGATTAAAAACTAACTTCCTAATCAGCCACATAGTCCAAATAGAAAAGAAGATTAATAGAGATGGTGTACACACTTCCTGCTGCTGACATACAGACTGATTCATAGACTATCTCACCCCTAATTTGAGCTTCTCTAGAAACTTGGTCTCTTTCCAACCTGGATCAGGCACCACTCGTTTTAAAAAAATACCCCCTTTTTTTCCTTCCTTCAGGCAAAAAGAAGTGACAGACTAAAGTCAATCTGGTCTAGTGGCTAAAGTGCTGGGTTAGAATCCAGGAGACTGTGAGATCTAGTCCTCCCTTAGGCCTGAAAGCTGGCTGGGTAACATTGGGTCAGTTACTCTCCCTCAGCCCACCCCACCCCACAGGGTTGTTGTTGTGGGGAAAATAGGAAGCAGGAGCATGAAGTATGTGCACTGCCTTGAGTTAACAAAAAATAAAGGCAAAATAAAATCTAATAAATAAATAGTGGCTGGCAGTGTGTGTTCACCACTGAAGTGTGCAATGCAGTGTAATCCTAGATGTGAGTCCCAGTACATTCAATTAGACTTCTTCCAGGTAACCATAGGTATGCAGTTGTATGCAAGTAAAAATAGTAAGACTAAGATTTTTCACTTTCTGTTTTCTGTACTTTGTAAGTTGACATTCTGCAGAATTAGGAAGCCATTGCATTGACTTGACTGCAATTTCTTCCCCCAAGAAAATAATCTTAACCAGCCCTACCTAGGTATGCTGGGGACTGAATCTTGGACCTTTTATATATAAAATATATGCAACGCTACAGTTTTACCCAAAGAAGAGAATTGCAGGTTACAAACTGCAGAGCCAAACTGCTGATGCTTGAGATTCACATTAGGCAGAGGAGGACAAAAAAGAAAAGACCCAAATGTATTCATAATGTTCACTCTGGCAAACTTTGAGAGCAGAAAATCATTTGAAATCAAATCAGATTGCATTACGGAATAGGTAAAAGATTGGTTGTTGCAGCTCCTAAATTAAAATTGTCTCCCCAAACTGGTAGATAACTTAGATGCCACTTAGCTTTTTCCTCCC